TTAATAAAATGTGCTTGCATGGTTATGAAGATTTGGAAGGGGGAGCATAACCTTAGAGCTGATTAATCTAGTCTATGACAATGAAGGATAACCTTAGAACTGCTTGCATGAGGGAGCATAACCTTAGAGCTGCGGTTCCAAACATCAACGAAAGTTAGGTGAATGGCATAGGTAATCAAAGAGGGCTTAAGAACTCAATGGCTTAGATTAATTAATTACTCTGACTGAAAGGTAGGTGATTTAGATAATCTAGGACTCTTTATTCTGTCCGGAAGGAATTATAAAGAATATAAGTGCCTGATCGAATAACTAATCATACACTACAGGAACATTTGAATCAAAACTAGATCATAAAGGTAGGAAAGTGATTGACCCTTCTGCCTCTTCACTCTTTCAAGTGACTATTCTCACTCTCCCAAGTGACAATCTGTTTAACTCATTTTCTTTTCTTTCTGCACTTTAATCAGATTTTGAGTGGTTGACTACCTTCTCTGTGGAACAACCTTACTTACCACTAGCTACTAGTTTTAAATAGTTTTATAAATACTAATAAATCCCGTGTACTCACGGGCTCCCTATTAATTTTTCATGTGTATCATCAACGTTATTGATAAAAATAAATTTAAAATAAAACAAAATACGAAAATAAATAGTTTTTACTTAATGAACAATGTTTATGAGTGTATACAAATACAACTATTATTTTTTATTTACTATTATTAATTAACACAAATTATTTGTTAGAACTTATTTTTATATGATAGAGAAGAGGGAGGAGGAAATGGGGGAAAAGAGTTAGGATTGGAAGAGAAAATGCAAAAGTCAAAAAGGAATATGTATGTTGTGAAAAAAATTATTTAATTGCGCATTTATTTATTACAAAGTATGGAAATCAATGCATTACACAAAGAACAATGTTGCATGCGGTATTAAACTAAGGAAAATGGATTTAAAAAATTAAGGAAAAAGGAGAAATTTTGGCACATCAGTCATCCAAACTAAAGAGGTAAAATAGAAAAATAAAATTAATTCTAAATTACTAGAAAATGACACATTAGCTGGAGTAGGTAAAATGGGCAGGAAAAGGGTATAATGGACTTTTTCAAGGGGTTCTGTTTTAGTATATAGTATGATTTCTTTTGGAAGTGGTTTAATGACAAACGATCCACCACAAGTCCCAGACAAACACTCTCATGCCTAAGTTAGAGGGTGGATGTAAGAATAAGGTAGCTAAGGGAAGTAGTAATAATGTAACTCTAACCTGGGAGGCTATAATAGGATATATATAGGCAGAGTAAGGATCAAGATCAAGGATCTAGATTCTCCAGGGAGCATGTGCCGTTGGGGTCAAAGCTCCCTTTGTCTGTACTGTTGTCTTTCTCCGGCAGGTTTGCTTCCTTCGGCCGCTTCCTCTGTCTTCTATAACGGAAATGGTTGTGACAGCTCCGGAAGTCAGCGCGGCATTTTTCCCTTAACAACCATAAGTAGTAATTGTGGGTCCCATTATGTCAAATGGATGACCCGTCTTTAGATCCGCTTCCTATATGGGTAACCCGAATCTTTATAATAGTTTTGACCCTGGTCTGTTTGACGGCGTCCCATCAATAAAGGTTTCATCTTTTGGTTGGTTTTTGAGGTTTTAAGTATGTACAATACACCTTATTTCATGATTGTGCTGGATATTAACAAAGAAGAAGCTCGACTGATTCCCCAGCCTCAGTTTTCATCGCCTAAGTATGAAACTCCAATAAACTGTTCCTGTTCCAAGGCTCTGTACCTGTTTCTGTTTGAGATTCAAATGAGATTTGGGTTTTGGAGGATTTTGCCTCAGAGGAACCATTCTGGACGAGAGGTTTGTTTTATCAGAAAAAAGTTGTGTTCATACGGCTCTCCCGAAAAGAACAATAGGGGTGAAGGTAGAGAGTAAAACAAAGCAACAGAATCTGGTGATCAGTTCTGAAGGCTTAGAAGGTACTCTGTTTTTGTGGGATCAAAAGAATGATACAGTGGATGAATGTGGAGTTGTTTTGGCTCGCAGCACCATTGAGGAATGGCGGAATCATGTTGTGGCAGATTTTGTTCTGAGTTTTGTTTCAGTTTTGGCTCCTTGCAATGATTTCAGACACCAGGTAATAGAAAGAACAAAAAAAAAAAAGAACAAAAGAGACAAAAAAAAAAAAAAGTGATGTGCTTGAAGTGACTGAGAACAGTTCCATATTTATTCACGATTCTTTGTATTGGATGCATTTTGATAGGCAATAAATTTATCTTGGATCCCGATTTTATATTGATGCCATATTGTGCCGAATAATTTCAGTTCCTTCATCTATCGAAATACTACAATTTTGGTATTAGTAAAATAATTGTTACATTTCAGCCACATGGGATTTAGATTTTCAGATAACTCGAATAAAAAGTGTTTATACTTTTTATACCATATTCATATGTAGGGCCTTTTATATATCGACGAGGAGGAAAGATTGATGTATACGTTTTATAAGTTTGGAATTTTGAAATTTAGCAACATTATACATTTTGTTCATATTTAATGATTATCTTCATACTTAACTAATATTATACTAGTATACTATTTCTGTCCCAAGAAAATAGTTTACATTGAATTTTCAAATTTATACTGTTTTTAGTACAAATAATTGCTCAAATTCAAAATCACAAAATTAGAAAAACAACAATGAAAATCTATTGTAGCTTTTTGAGAATAAAACAAGTGGTTATCTATTAATTTTTTAAATTGTTTGCGAAAAGATTTTTCTATTGAACATTTAAACGAAAATAATTTTGTAGCTCTTTGAGACAAGAGGATTTCAATTGTTAGACTATTTGAAAATAATTTGTAAAAAAACATATTTAAATTTATGTTGCACCTGTGTTAATTACTAGTATTGATTTTAGTGTGTGGGGAAAAAAAATTCTTAAACTTTCAGCACCTCCAAAGTTTCAAACCTAGTTTTGTCCCTTACTACAATTTGCAGTAAAATTGACTTCTCTGTACAGATAATGGTACTCTTTCACGATCAAATAGAAAAATCAAAGGCGTTCGACTACAATTTTTACATCTGTCATAGAAAGTCAACACGATAAGTTACTGCAATACTTGGATTATTTTGATATATGAACATTCTCGTATTATTTTTAATGGATATGGGCAGCTGGCGATAAATAAAAAATGCAGAACCAGAAAGAAAATGGAAAATCCAACACGACAAATTTTTCTCCGGCGATGAGTTTGTATCTTTTAGAAATTTTTGTCTATTTTTATTTTCATTTTCAAAACACATACTCCTTTCATTCCAAAATAAATGTCGATTTGGCAAAATGGAGAAATTCCAAAATAAGTGTCGTTTTCGGATTTCCATGTATTTTTTGTAAAAAATTCCCAAATATACCCTCAAAAGAAATAATATTACTGGGGAACATTTATTTTAACGGAGTTGGTTAAGGATATTCTAGTAATTTAATTACCTTATTTAATATTTTCTTAAATTATGTGCAAACTCTGGAATGATAGTACTTATTTTGAAATTGAGGGAATACAATGTATCCATGCCGATTCTAAACTTCAATATCCCGATTCCCAAATCTCAAAGTAAAGGGGAAAAAGAAAAAACTTTAATTCTTTACCATATTCATTTTTGGAACTAGTATTATCATATTCCCAACATACGTGGTTTACTACATTTTACACTTGAAAGACAACTGATATTTCCTGAAGCTTCACTCAAAAGAAAAACGAAAATAAAAAACGATTACACAATGATATGATTATTGCTGTGGCGGGAAAGGTGTTCAAAATGTTAGCTTAAGATAGAAGCACCTCACGACGAATGACAAAGTAAACTCCAGACGTTTCCATTGGATAAAGCTCTTTTTGTTGTTGATTGAGATGAAGTTTTCTATGTATATCATTATCGCCATTTCCAAGTCTCCTTTCTTTCCGGTCGGTTCTTCCCTACATACATTGTATCAACGGAAATGATATTCATTTTTCTAAAATTAACTCTAAAACCATTAAAGTAGTATTCCCTCCATTCCAAAATAAGTGTCGTTTTAACAAAATAAAAAAATTTTAAAATAAGTGTCGTTCTCACATTTCAATGCTCTTTTTGTCCAAAGTTTCCAAAATTATCCTCGAAAGAATTAATACTATTGGTAGACATTTTTTTAGTAGGGTTGGTTGAAGATATTCAAGTAATTTTATTACTCTATTTAAGAGTTTCTTAAACTATGTGCAAAGTGTAAAATGACACTTATTTTGGAATGGAGAGAGTATTATGTAACTTACGTCTCATTTAAACTTAAATTTAAGACCCTTTACATCTTAAGATTATTTAATTTGACTTTTTTTTATTATTTAATTTGAATGTTTATTTTAAAATACGTGAAATATGTTTTTAAAAAAAAAAAAAAAAGCATTTCACGCTCTCTTTGTTCAATCAATTATAATCACTAGACACAAAATTACAACAAAACTTAGACGCTCCTATCATATGTGATGATTTAATATCAACACAAGTAACTATTGTAGACAATCTCTCCCATTTCATTACATTACGCTTGAGTGAGAGTAGTTTATAAATGATTAAAAATATTATTTTAGTTTCAAAATGAAACTAAATAAAAGAAAATTAAAAGAAAAAGGAAGTAACTTCGCCGAGATGTTTGCCAAGGTGGGATTCGACCTGATTAGACTAATTTGGAACCAAAAAAGAACATTCATGATTCATTTCAGTGTATGAAAATTTTTCTCTTACATTTTGTCATAACCTTCCGACATTAATCTCAAACAAAACAACTTCGTAAACCTCGAACGGGACAAAACTCCGACATTCTCTATCATCAAAAGAACACGTGGAGTCTAACTCAGCAATTTTCCCGGGCTACGTGTCGCACTTTCAACCTTCTAGAGCTACGTGGGCGTATTCTTTTTTCTTCATTCAAATCCATCCAACTGATTTTCCCCCACAAACCTCTCCCAAGAACTTCGCATTTCCAAAGAACGAAGAAACTAACTTCCAAAGAACCGATCAATCCTCTCTGAAGAGAAAACGAAACCAAAACCCACCAAGAAATTTCCGGGTCCAAAGAAAAAATGATGAATGTTGTGGCATTATGCCTCGTATTCACCACACTTGCAACTGCAGGTGTTTGGTCTCCCAGCCCCGAAAGAGTGCAAATCAAGCAGGATGTTATCGTGAAGGAAGGCCATCGGACGGTTGAAATCGAGTACGGACAAGATAATGGAAATACCAAAGTCAAAATCTCTCCTCAAGAAGGCTATGTGGATTCTTCTTCTTCTTCATCATCCCCTGTTTCTTCCACTGTGAAAGAGAAACTTTCTGAAGGGGCTGAGAAGGTTTCTGAAGGAGTTGAACATGTTAAGGACAAAATTGAGGAAGAAATTGGACACAGAGCAACTCCCAGGGAACTAATTTGCGATGCTTATGGTAAATGTAAGCACAGAGTTGCGAGCGCTTTGGGGAAGACTAAAGAAGTTTTGTCCGAGAAAGCCCATCAAGCGAAAGACACGGTAGAAGAGAAAGCTCATGAGGTGAAAGATAAAGTAGAAGAGAAAGCTTATGAAGTGAAAGACAGAGTTGAAGAGGTTGAAGGAGGAGCCAAACACGCCGTAGGAGAAACCGTCGGGAAGGTGAAAGAAGCGGTTTCCAAAACAGCCCGCGAGGTGGCTGATAAAGCTCATGATGTTAAGGAGAAGGTCAGAGGAGCTAGTAAGGAAGCAAGCGATATCGGGAAAACGCTCAGAAACGACGTGAAGAAGAACGCTACCAGAGAAATTGAAAGGACGAAGAAGAAAGTGGAAGAAGCAGGGGAAAATATCGAGCATAAAAAGGAAGGATTGAAGGGAATCCTTAAAAGGGGTGTGAAATCTGTGGGTGGCATCTTTGGGTATGTTTTTTCTCCTGAATTGAGGAATTCTGGAGTTGGGATTATGCAGCTTTTGGGTTTGAGTACCGCTTATGGGATGAGTGTTTGGGTGACATTCATTTCGAGTTATATTAACGCAGGAGCATTGCCTAAGCAGCAGTTTGCTGTTTTGCAGAGCAAGATTTACCCTGCTTATTTCAGGTCAATGGCTTATAGTGTTGGGATGGTGCTTTTAGCTCATTGGTTGAGTCCAAGAAAAGGGCTACATCCCGGGAAGTCTGATGTGTTTCAAGGGTTCAATCTTCTTGCTTCACTTGTGATGCTCCTGTTCAATTTAAATTACGTGGAACCTCGTGCTACAAAGGTAAGTAATTTGCGATTATGAAACTCAATTCGATGGGTTTTGTGATTATTCTTTATTTCATGAATTTGGTGATCCTTAAAATTCATTGATTGTGCACCCAAATCAATTCGAAAAGTTCTTTTTTTTTTTTTTTATGTGATTTTGGCAGGCTATGTTTGAGAGGATGAGATTGGAGAAGGAAGAAGGCAGGGGAATGGAGACCAAACAACCCGAACCGAGTATGAGAAACGTGGACTCTGTCATAGAGCCATCAGGGAGGAGAACATCAGCGATGACAGGGGCAGTTATGACGACCACAAATCTTGGAGAAAAGACATCAGAAGAAGCTAATGATGCAGCGGCTGCACATGCGAAATCTGAGATGGTAAGATTGAGTGAGGCATTGAAGAAGTTGAATTCTTATTCATCCTTCCTCAATGTGTTGACTCTCATGGCGCTCACTTGGCATCTTGTGTATTTGGGACAAATGCTTCATAGCACTGTAGAATGTGCTTGAAGAAACCTCATGCTTTTAGCTTTTCTTTTTTTGGGCTCTGGCCGCTTTGTAGAACTCTGGTTTTTAGTGTACCTTTTTTTACTCAATTAGGTATTAGTCTTAATCATCTTAGATTAGTAGTTTTTGAAGTCATCATCTGTATATTGGTAGGGTTCTGAACTTGCGTTACTTGTTACTAAACAGGGGAGTACACTTAGTGGCACTGTAAAATCTCCTATGTTAACTTTTCTCAAATCTCTCCAATCACACTCAAAATGATTGTCAAAAATGCTTGTCGTGTTAGTTTTCGACAACGATGCTGACTACCGTTTCTAATATCCGGTTGTATTGGCTGTGATCAAAAGGTGAGAAAACTTGTAGACCATCTTTGTAATGTTGCTTCAAAGCCCTGGTGTCTGGGCTGTTGAGGTTCCAAAGGCAATTGGAAAAAATATAGATAAAGTGAGATGAACATAGTCTGATCTTAACATTTCCATTTCATAGTTTTGTCTCTTACGAATGGTTCATCTGCTCGTTCAATCACTGTTGAATTGTCATTTTAATCTATTGATGTTCACTACTGAATTAATTCACTTCAGGGGAAACAATAGAAAGAAAAGGGAAATCTGAGGATTAGGGGTTTAAAGATACAGAATGATCTACGTCTTCTGCGTGCTATTGAGGTTTGAAACACTAATCTGACTAGTAAATATTTGAAAATTTTCGGCTCTGTTTGTTTGATTTTTGGGATGGTTTTTTAAGATTATTTTAATAATAACGATTTTAATTCAGTATATTTTTTCATATTTTCAGTACAAAAAACACCTAAAAACATTATAAAAAAAAAACAAAACAAGCAACTAAGTATGAGATAGTAAAAGGAAAGGAAAAAGATTACAGCAAGAGGGAAGGAAAGAAATTTTTTGGTTCAAAATTTTCGCTTATAACACAAGAAATCGACTTTAATAGTGATGGAGTTTACAGTCAATTGGATACAAAACAAAGTGAAAAACAGATAATCGACCATTTTCAAAATCTACCTAAATTGTAGATTCATTTGTCTCTTCTATTTTAGTTCAACAAAAATGATTTTATTTTTTGGAGAAATGAAGAACGTGAAATCTCATTCTCAATCACAACTTCATAACCAACCTCCAAATTGAACACGGTACAGTGTCTAATCATTAGTCAACTGCATTAATCTCCGCAAATCCCTATCCAGTCATTCAACCAAATGGGGTAGAAAAAAAAACTGAAAAAGAAGATGATGATGATTTTGATGCCGGCCACAATTAGCATTTACAACTGTTTTTTCTGGGCCCTGGAAATCTGCTGATTTCTGTCAACTTCCATCTTCATACAGTTGAGCAAACCATAAAATTCAAACCTGCCTCACTTTGTGTTTCCATTCTAGACAGATAGTAAGACATCCTTCTCAGCACTTTTTCTGGGTTGTTTTCAGCAAAGGATATATCACAATCCACAAGTCAATAATTTCAGACCACTTCCTCAGATAATAAACTCAAGTTTCATGTCATCCCTTAAGCATGTTCATACACGATGAAAATCTTCAAAAAGATCACTTAACAATGAAAACAAAAGTATCTGAATAAACTCCTAGTGGAAGTTCCTTCACTTGATCAAGTACACAAATCAGTAAGCTAGAAAGCTCCGGAAGCATTAGTGCAACTGATAGAGCCATTCTGATGCTACTAATTCATCTAACATACTACAAAATACAACCAATTTTATTTCATCAATAATGCCAGCTTACATGCGATGTGTGGCAAACGAATCTCAATTAGAAATGGACTACATCAAAAGCACGTTCAAAAGAAAATGCTTCAGAAGACCGTTAATTTACATCATATTTGACACCTGCACTAAAGCATCCTAGAAATTAGAAGTTGACGGTGGTGGCACTTGGATGTAGACCTTACAGTATCTAAAGCAGTCAACATCATAGAGGAGGAGAAGCTCCGAGGCAGAGATACGATACGTATGTATTTTGATTGCAGATCCATGGGGTATAGACTTCTACATTACTGCTGATTCACTTTGACTGTACTGGGAAAAAACTCCCCTTCTACTCTTGGACACAGCATTTACAATTCTTTTGCTGCTCTGAGAGTTCCTGCAACATGTAACCATTTCATCAGCTATTTTTATTGCCCAGATGATATACCATTGTAGAATTTATCCTCTTGCTTTTAGCTCATAAAGATAGATAAGTAAAAAGAAAAGCATCATTCAGCACAACATATCTACTTTATGATTCCAGCACCTGATAATCCTTCTAGGGTTTCTATGTAGAAACATTTGAAACAAAGATGTAGAGATGTAGAGATATTGCTTACCTCAATTTGCTTCTGTAAAAGCTTAACATATTCTACTGCTTCTTCTAACATGTCTGCCGTGTTTGTTTGCTGCATAACGCGGAGGCAGAGGTTACTAAAGGACCATACAAACACATCAGATTTTCTATTAGCTGTACAAGCTAAATATTGCATGGAACATCTAGAAAACTAAAATATGAGACCATAACTGGAGCAGCACCCTCAATAGGTCATACTGCTAGATTCATGATTTCAAACAGAAGAAACATCAGACTCTGGTACCTTATCCATATTGGGAACAAGTTCTTGAAGCTTCCTTATCCGATCACTAATTCGAGTTCTTCGAACCTAATAGAGGAGAGAAATTATTCTCGCAAGACAAACTAAAGGAAAATAGAAGCCAAATTACCACGTCGCTCTATTAACACCAACTAGGACAAGATGAAAGAGGACCATTTTCTTACTCTCTCTGCAATACTACGGGGGTGGGTCGCACAACCACGTTTTGCCCGAACCCTACACAGAACAGCATCCTCTGAGAGCTTCTCCATTTCTGAATCTAATAATCCCCCAAGGTCACTTTGCTCTCCTTTCTGTGAAGAACATAGCAAAATATTAACATCAAACCCATATTGAGGGACTGCTGGGAGGGATGGCTATTGTTAGATATGAAGGCGACAGTAAAGTATCTATGAGAGGGAATACAACGAACTAACATCTAACATTTTCATTTTGATGAAATGAGGAATGTGCAGGAAAATTGTTGAAAACATAAAAGCTTTACAATTATGACCACAATGAAGAACCAATAGACAGCAGAGCATAAGGTTGTAGACGATCAGAGTTCTAGTCATTAACAAGAGCCAAGAAAAACGAAAGAAGGGCATCCAAGATTCGTGCTTTCAAGTGACAGTATTAGGGGACACAAAATGTTTTGACCTTAAATGTTCTCCAACTGTATACAAGGACAGATTATTCCTTACATACTTCACTTAGTATAAAGTACATGAAGCTTACCTATTGGTATCTAAATTTTCAATCAAATCACAAAATGATATGATCAGAGAAGCATTTATGAACATTCAGTTTGGATTATACTTCCTAGTTCACAGCAACTTTCAGTCTTTACTTCACCCTTTTTAGCTGCAAAGCTAAGGGACATCTCTGTCCGTAGTATACCACTTGCCAACTTGTTTCCAGGTAAATAATAAAATTAGCACTAATGAGTGAGTCAAAATACAGCATCCATATACAACAATGGATTCCACCCACTAAAAAACAACATTGATGTTATTAATTAACCATAAAAGGGCCAAAAAGAGGGGAAAAAAGGAAGTCTTTATAACATTTTACAGAGAAACAATAAACCAAAAAGAGGTTTAAGTATTTGAGCAATTGAAAAGGCATAAAACATACCACTTGGGCAGAAGCTTTAGGAGATGGATTATTTGAATCACTCTCCCTGGGCCGCTTCGAAGGCGACTCTGAAGCATGCAATGGCGAAGAACCCATCAAATAATCATAGTTCGCCGGAATCCCAAAGCTGGAAAAATACCCATCTGACAAGAAATCCGCCGGCGAGCTGTTTTGCCGGAGCAACCCAGTAAGCCCACCACCACCACTCCCCACCGAGTCCAACAACCCCAGATCGTCGGCGAACCTACTGCTGCCGGTGACGGAGCTGGGCTGAGTTGACTGAGCTTGAGACCGAGACGGCGGATGCAACGGCGGCATAGCAGCAGCAGAAGTAGTAATAGCACTAGTAGTCGCCGGAGCTATCGCCGGAGAATCAAGAGCTGCCTCGTTGACATCCTCTTCCAAAAGAGCTTCCAACCAAGTAGCCGGAGCTGAACGAAACCGAGCTAGCCCGCCACCGCCGCCACCACCGCCACCTCCGGCACGGCTGAGCCCACTTCCTCCGATTCCACTTCCACCGGCCGATTGCATCTGCATAAGGGCTCCGTTTTGGTATGTCTTTAATTCCTTCTCCTTTCAGATAGGGGTCCTCTTTCCTGTTGTTTGTATTATTAAGAGTACCTTTTTCTTTTTCTTTCTATTTTTGTGACAATACCATAATTATTGGTACTGTTGAAAAAAAGTACTCTCCCTAACACAAACAACAAAATGCAAAATGGAGAAAATCCTAAAAACAGAAATTATTTGGTACCTTTTCACCAGTTTTACTTTAGTAGACTAGACTAGATTGTTCTTCTTCTAACCAAAGGGGGCTTTGGGAATTGTGATTTTTTATGGTACTTTTTCAGTTTTTTGTGTTTACTACAAGGTTTTGTTAAATTAGAGAAATAATTCAAGATCTTGGCACGATCAAAGGTGTGTTTGAGACTCTGATTATCTTTTGTGTTCATACGGGAAATGGTAAAAATATAGGTAAACCATATGAGGTAGGGAAAGGGGGGACTACTGATCTAATCATAATTTAATGTGAAATGTAGCTTTTGGAGTTATACACGTAGGTGGTCATGTGTCACTGTGTTCATTCATTTTAAAAGTTTTTAACCTTTGTTGGGACCATCTGATGTTAGGAATGTAAGGCTTTGTTTGTCTTTAACTTTTTGTGTCAATGTACTATCTAAATAATTTTTTAATTTATCTTATAAAATGTTCAGTTTGGTAATTAAATTATTGTAAAATTTTTTTTGCGTTTGGTCACTGAATTATTGTAAAATCTTGTATTTGGTCATTATACTATTGTAAAATTTTTATTTTGGGCACTAAATTATCTTAATTTCATAAATGGTCGCTATACTATAATACTTTCCAAATCAAAAACTAAATTACTTTTTAATTCTCCTCTCAAATTCAAATAAAAACGAAAATAACACGTTGTCAAAACAAGTATTAAGACTTTGTTTGCCTTGTTCATAATGAACCAAAAAAAAAAAAAAAGGTTTCTTATTTTTGTTAGTTCTTAAATGCCAATTTCAAGGAAAAAAGGGGTATGGCTAAAAGCTCTGGCTGTGAAAACCTACTGCGACAAGCTTGATATCCACCATCCGCACAAAAGATAAATATAAATAAATAAATTCTTTCTATTGTGAGATAAGAATTAAAGTGGATTTTTTAAGTTTTGAGAGTGTTCAAAGAACCCATTTAAATATAGTTCATATATTTTACATAAAACAATAATAAAAGAGTAGTGATAGGTACAAGGAATAAATGATAAGGAAAAATAATAAGGAATGATGTGTCAATATCTTAATTATACACTAACCTTAAATGCATAAACTCTGTTTGAAAATTTTTAACAATAGATGGGTGAGATCATTTCCTTGTAATTTTTCCTTATCATTTTTTCCTTGTACCAATCAATATCCATAATAAAATGTGCCCCTTAAGTTTCGTGGAGAAAAAAGGGAAATAGATCACCACATTTCAACATAGACGTTCTATTTTATATTCAAGGAAAAAGTGATAAATATTATGGAAAAATCTGAATTGATTGAATATCCATATTAATATGGATTATTCTATTCACAATCAAAGAGATATGATTTTGTAATTTTTAGCATTAATGATAGGTGATTCATTCCTATAGTTTGATCTCCTATTTTTTGTATAAATAGGGAACTCATTCATACTTCAAAACACATCTGCACACAAGTCTCTTATCTCTCTCTACTCTCTTATGTCTCTCTTGTTCTTATGCTTAGTTTTATATTAGTAGTCTAGCATTAACTTTATAACACGTTATCAGCACGAGACTCTACTCAAAGAGTTTCTACCACCGCTTGAAGTTGGTGTGTATTGATTCTGAAGGCCTGAAGTCTCAATGAATATTTTAATCCTACCACCGCCAGAAATTGGTGCGTATTGATTATAAAGACATGAAGCCTCACTAAATATTTTAAAAGGTTTTTATGACCTGAAACGCCTGAAGCGCCTTGATCTCGAGTCACTTCAAGATCTCGGTTTAAGATTGTCAATTCAAAATTGAGAAAGCAAATTCGGCATGTTGAAATCATACTATCTGATTTTATATTGAGATGTCTGAGTGACATGTGATTTTATTAGTCAACGAGTTCTTAGACAAAAACTATCCACGGTTTTTCATTATTTTGTTTTTGTTTTGATTTCTAATTCCATAAACTAAATTACTTGTTTTGTTATAATCTAATATCGTTAATATCAATGCCTTATTCGATGATTATGTTATGATGCATATCATTTATATTATCCTCCGTGAAGAGTAAAAGGAAAATATGGGAGATAAAAAATGGAGTGTTTGTTTCCTTGTTTTGGTTCAATCTAAACCTTTTTTAAAGTAATCATAACATATTAGTTCAATACATGTTTGCGTATTGTTGGTATTAAAAAGGTTTTTAGCATACTTATATTTGTATGTTTTCTTTTTCCTATAAAAGAAAATTATTTGAAAATTAGATTGTCGCTATGCTGTAGTGATTTGCTATATATGTTGACAATAATAAATGTTTTAGTTTTTTATTTTATTTTTGTTGTATATACTATTATTGTTTCGTGAAAAGATGTCACATTTACTTTGAGATTTTTCATTTCCTAAAGCAAGTGAATTATTACTTTATAGATATATTTTTTTACCCGAAGTAAAAGATTAATGATAACAAAAAGAAAGTTGCTCCTGAAGTAGTAATATTACGATAATATATTTACCATATTAAATTGCTCCAGTAGTAGTATGATAGTGAAATATTTGGTGAAATAATATGAATCGATTTCTTTTTATTTCCTGAAGTGAGTGGGCAGTAAATTATTTTGCGGAAAATTATAGACACTAAATCTACAACAATAATACGACAATTATATACCAAATATAACTCTTTGCCTGAAGTGAAAGATTGAATGATGATCAATTCAAGGTCGTATATCAACCCAAAGTTGGGAAGTAATGATGAAAAGAAAAGAAAGGCATTGAACAAAAAGCCTTCTATATGGTATAACGAACAATTGGTCGCGTATACGTCATACGCCAAACATCTTACAGATCTCTATTAGCAATCGATGAAGAAAAAAGAAACGAAAATAGAGACAAATATAATTTATAATAATACTGATGATGTTGACCATGGTCTAGTTTAAAACGGCTTTACTATTTTAGATATTGTTGATTTTGTTGTCAAACATCCTAACGGTGATGTGGAAATTAATTTAGAGATGAAAATGTCTAATATGTCAAATACCCTGAAGGTGTTGTGATCTTTTGGCCATTATAGTAATGATCCTATTTAATTGACATTTTCCATCTACATGTTTCAAAGAAAATAAGATCTAAATTTGTTAATGATAAAAGTATGTCTGGCACATAGTGCAACTCATATTACTTCTATGGGTATTGTAACTTTTATTAATCGCCCTGAAGGTGATGCTAGTCAATGATAAACACGAAATCAATTAAAGGCTCCAGTAGAGCATATGGCATTGAATTAGTTTATAAAGATGGATGAAAACTTCCGTAGAGTATAATTACTCGGGAGAGTGAAAACAAATAAATGCTTTTGAAGAGCAAATATAATGAATTCATCATTGCTTTTGGAAAAGCAATTGTAAACAAACTTTGTTCTTAAGAGAGAAAGAGAATGTTAGATGGAGAAAGTGCATTGAGGTACATTATATTATCCAAGGTATCAAAGAAGGATGTAAATTGCTCTACCAATACAACTATTTAGAGTTTGAAAATTCATTGTTCTCTCCAGCAAAGTAGCGATACATTTTGCTTTTAAAAGAGCAAGAACACTATGGTAGAATGAAAATAAGTGAATAAAAAAATACTCTGTTAGAGTAAACGCTCACGTGGAGTGAAAGTGTTCTGGTATTGTTGAATAATTAATTCACTGTTTTCTCCAGAAGAGAAATTCTAAAATTTGGCATAACTAATTTAGTGATTCTAGTTTTAAGACGAAACAAGAAAGTTTTTGTGCTTTAAATTTGGAGAACCAAGAGTTTTTTCCAAAAAATTAGAGTATTAATCGATATGTCGATGAGATAGCCACATATATGATTCTCGTTAACTTACAATCTGAAGTTTGCAGAAACTTAATTATGGAGTTAATTTGGTAACTTGTCGATTTTCATGTTATGCTCTTACGAGAATTTTGATTTGACAGTTGTGGTGAGTATATGACTTAATACCAGAATGATAGAAGTTGAACATTGAGTGCCTATAAGACAATGAAGCGGTCCAGTAGAACCGTTTATTATATTTGTTCAATTAAAGTAATTATCTCATGTATGATTGAGAAACTGTTGAAACAAAAAAGACACCAATTTTATGCATAAGACCAAACAAGTCATTATAGATATTCTTCCCAACATTGGTTTTCAGTCAAAAACCATACGTATCCATCTTTAAATATTAGATGGGTACTTTATATATTATTCCACCATAATGTACACAATGATGAAGCCTCCAAAAAATGGCAGAAATATATGTTGAATATTGAATCTCCAATGTTTGACATTATTGATGTTGGATTAACTATTCGATAGACTGATCGTATTAGTTTGACAAGTTAGTTACTCTCAAAAGGGAGATTATTAACTGCTCGGTTGGTTAATCGTCATTTAGCAAGTTAGTTATCCCAACATCAGGGGGAGAAGTTAAAACAACATATTTATAAATCAGATGGATAATATAATTATCTCATGATGATCCTCGATAACATGAACCTGAAGTTCAATAGATAATTTTTAAAATGAGATGTTTAACTGACCAAAACATGTGACTGAGTTACATGCGAAAGGCTGTCAAGTTTCAAATCTTGAATAATGTTCCCGTAGGACCATCTACCACAATTATTGAATGTCCATTTGATGAGTGGTAGAACGATCGGTTCCAATGATAAAAATCTCGTAAATGACAAGGTTTAAATTTATAGAAATGGCAAATACGAGTGATTATAATTCATAAGAATTTTGAGCTAGAATAATTTCTCACTACGGTGAATTAACTTCTAGAAGAAGTATGTGAATATTTAGAAAACTTAATAATTTTGAGATCTCATTACCAAAGAACATGGAATCGATCAGCAATAAAATATCAACATGAAGTTTGCATATACTGCAATAGTTAGTGAAATGAATGAGGATCATGAAAGTCTGCTGTGAGTACGGACATTAAACTTATTGGCCACAATAAATGAAAAGACGCGATACGCACACCTGAAGATATGTAAGTTGAATTAAAAATCTTTGAAAGACTAGAAGTTTTGGCCAGTGATACACCGGCTTGTTAGGTGATTGTGCAAAATGTTAATGAGCAACCAACTTATTGCACAAGTTTTTTCAAAATCTGGATGTTAATCATGAGAAGATATATTCTCTTGTGGTGGATGGAAATAAAATTCTTCCAATATTTACTTTATCTGGCAGTAAATGAAGATATAAAAAATGCGTCTCTTTAATATAGTGATCACTTGATGCTTAATACGTGACATTTGATAATGATGTCTTTACAAATCCCTGATCGATTCAATAGGGGACATGGTCCTTATTCTCGAGAAATTAATTCAAAAGACTTACGCAAATTATAGTGTCTTCATGCGTCTAGGTATTTAGGTTCATATTTTTTAATATAATAAATATGCTATGTTTGCTTTTATCCAGGTATGTTATATTTGTTTGTAACCTGCTTTCTGGCAGTTTTTATAATCATATTTGAATGATATGATGATAACTAATACTAAAGTGAGTATTCATAAGCCATATGTGCATTTACAATTTTGTTAGTACTGAACTCTTGTAGAGTTTCAAAAGGCTGAATATTATCAAAACTTATCACGAAGTTTGAATAACCTGAATATAAATAAAACTCCTGAAGAGTTATATGATAGTTATGAACACTTCTAAGGAAGTTCAAAAGGTAGCTACTTGCCTGAAGCAAGGATAATGAAAGATCT